TTCTTCCTCCATGTGGAAGGTACTGTCTTCATTACCAGTTTGAACTAACAGTGCATTCTTACTGAAATGCAATGAACAAAGAACACCATACGGTTGTCAGGACTCCTCAGTTGACATCTACTGTTTCCAGAGTTTCAGCTATCGACTTCAGGTCTCAAATCTCTCCTCTCTCTCAGCAACAGAGCACTGACGTATCTAAGCCAACCTTCCTCACAGATTGAGATCAACAAGAAAGATAAAGTACTTTTTTTCCCACTCTATCTCTTTTTTATTTAACTTTTATTTTAAGTTCGGGGTGAAAGTGCAGGTTCGTTACACAGGTAAACTGGTGTCATGGACATTTGTTGCACAGATTATTTAATCACCCAGGTATTAAGACTTGTACATAGTACACATCAGTTATTTTTTGTGATCCTCTTCCTCCTCTCACCCTTCACCCTCCAAAAGAACCCAGTGTGTGTTGTTCCCCTCTATTTGTCTATGTGTTTTCATCATTTAGCTTGCACTTATAAGTGCAAGCATGCAGTTCCTCAAAGACCTGAAGACAGAAGTACCATTCAACCCATCATCCCATTACTTGGTATATACCCAAAGGAATGTAAATCATTTTACTGTAAAGACAGACACATGCATATGTATATTCACTGCAGCACTATTCACAATAGTAAAGACATGGAATCAACCTAAATACCCATCAAGGATAGACTGAATATAGAAAATGTGGTAATATACACCATGGAATACTATGCAGCCATAAAAAACAATGAGATCATGTCCTTTGCAGGAACATGGATGAGCTGAAGGCCGTTATCCTTAGCAAACTAACACAGGAACAGAGAAAATACTTTTCTTAAAGGTCCCAGCAAGACCCATGGAGATAATATCTGATTAACCTCACAAGGGTCACATTCTTCTGTGTAGCAGACTGTCCTCCTCATAGTAAACACTTCATACATATTTGTTGAGGGGGTGAGTAAATAGTCAAGATGTAATTCCCCCATCATCCTTGTCCACATATCTGATCTGCCACCCCATTTTCTTGAGGGAAAAATAGCTCTTTAATCTGCCCAGTTTCTCATTTCTCAACCAAATTCTGCCCCTGGATGATGGAAAGCTCTAGATTGAACATATCTAGACCACATCAGGGCTATATATAGGAGTCAATTGCATGGGATGGGGCCCCAGGCAAAATCAATGGGGGGAAAGCCTACATCTTCATCCCCTCTCTACTGCTTTTTTTTCTTTTTCTTAAAATTTGTCCTCACTAAGCATCAGCACCAGTTGAACAGTTTGAGTCAAGCCTTGCTTCTCATGTGATATCTTTAGATAAAAATACTAAATACATTTGTGAACAGTGGACTGAAAACCAACAATATTGTTTTGTTAGAACACAGAAGAAAAATTAATTCCAGAAATCATGAGAAAACCATTTATCTTTGCATTTTCAAACCTTGGGACTGTCATTAAGATTATCATTCAATCTGATAGATATCAAGTGAATATAGCTTAATTTTAGGATACCGAATGGAAGTAAATAACATAATAACTTAGAAGGAGAGTCAACACTTAGAATTACAGGCATAGTTTACTTAGTGTTGCTACCATCATCCCTGATTCACTAAAATGCTATTTGTCTCAGAAAGAGAAGTTAATACACAGTTTTCCCTTGGCTTACCAGCCAGGATGAGAAACAATGCACAATGTTAGGCTCTCAGCTATTGGAACACCATGGAGTGACCATTCTTTTTTTTTTTTTTTTTTTTTTTGAGGATGTAGTGCAATGGTGTGATCTTGCCTCATTGCAACCTCTACCTCCTGGGTTCAAGTGATTCTTCTACCTCAGCCTCCCGAGTAACTGGGATTACAGGCACGCATCACTACACCCAGCTAATTTTTGTATTTTTAGTAGACACGGGGTTTCGCCATGTTGGCCAGGCTGGTCTCAAATTCCTGACCTCAGGTGATCCACCTGCCTCAGCCTCCCATAGTGCTGGGATTACAGGTGTGAGCCACCATGCCCAGCCTTTCCCCATTCTTAATGGTGGTGAACAATCTGTTCCTTTTTCCTCTGGGGAAAACTATTTCTGCATTTTAGCCCATAGTGGCTGAAAAAATGGCATGCATGTAACGGTTTTGGTGCTAGATGATATCTTATCGAGTTAAAATGCAAATTCTGTAGCAGGTTGAGGTATCTTCCAGGAAATAGTTATGACTTAGGGACTCAAACCCAGTAGAGTTTGGGGAAAGTCCTTTGACCTTGTAAAGATCATCTTCATAATGCAACCTAGAAAGATTGGCTAATAACTCTATGAATACCAGCTGGGAAGATGGCACTGTTAGTGGCATATCATGACTTCAGGGGCTTTAAAGAAGACAGAAGAGAAATTACAAAGATATTATGCCAGGGACACTTCCTCATGGGGACTAACTCTGCTTTATTATTCCTGGATAACTATGATCCATTTAGCCCTCCCGTTCCCAAGATCAAATGCCCTGGACCAAACTTCATAATTCTATGGCTGAGAGGCTCATTATTAACGAGTGAAGATAAAATAACCCACGGAGAATTGATTCCATTCTGAATTAATTTCCTGAACTATTCTGGGCAACTGGTAAGTGGTCTTCTAGAGCCACACAAGCAGAATGCATTTATGATCATCTGCGTTGGTGGACGTAACGTTGATTGTGCTAGTTTTTAATGAGATCTGGAATGTGCAGCTATCATAGCAACTCTACTGGAATTGTCTGTCTACATCTTCATCTTCCTTACTGAACTGTGAGTCACTCAAAGGCCAAACTGGAGTCTTATCAATCTTGGGATTCCTCTGTGTAGCAGACTGTCCTCCTTATAGTAAGCACTTCATACATATTTGTTGAGTGGGTGAGTAAATACTCAACACATAATTCCCCCATCATCCTTGCCCTCATATCTGATCTGTCACCACATTTTCTTGAGGGGAAAATAGCTCTTTAATCTGCCCAGTTTTGGTCATCTCCACTGTCACAAGTGTCACCAGTCACTAGTCCAAGCCACCAACATTCCTTCCCTAGACTACTGCAACTACTTTGGAAAAGCTTCTCTGCTTTCCCTACTGCAGAGTACAACTTTGTTTTTTTGTAAAAACCAAAGAGGGTTTTCAAATGTTTTAAAATACCTCTACTGGCTTTAAAATCCAGAACTCAACCGCCTACTTCTCTAGGCATGTCTCACTCCTCTCTTCCCAACTTCTCTCTGCTGAGTCATGTTGGGGTCTTTCTGTTTCTACAGCTCACCAAGACCTACTCTGCCTCCAGTTTTTGCACAGATTGTTCTCTCTGTGATGTCCTTCCCTACCACTTTGTCCCAACCATCTCATTCTGCAGGTGTCAGCCTAAATGTCATTCCCCCAGAGAAGGCACTCTTGTCTTCCCAATTTAAGGTAGGCTTGCCTGTTATTCTCCCCCCTGGCACCTGCCATTTTCCTTCATGATGCCTCTTAAAATTTGTAATTATGTAGTTGGTTAATGTATTTAATAAGCATCTCTCTTACTAAACTGTAGGCTTTTCATTGAGAATAAGGACTGTATCCATTTAGCTCACTACATCGGACATCTTGTTCACTACCTCATATCCACTCAGCCTCAGCTTGTGGCCCTGGCAAGGACTTCCAGGAAGCTTCATACTGCTCTGCATTGAAAGAGAACACCTGAAGCTTGCACCACGTACCTCTGCTTCCTCCCCAGCAGCTTCCCTGACTTCCCTGGGTGGGGTGCCTGCAGGTGCCTGCTTGACATTCATACATGTGCAACCCAGAATTGTGCAAATGTTAATGCTGTGTGGGGTAACTTCCAATAAAAGCAGGCCAGAAGCCAATGAATAAATGCTTCTTCCTCCAATCCCTTTTATGCACCTTTTGAAAGGTACCAGCAGGACTGAGCACCAGCCACCCAGACTGGTGGCCACCTCTGTAATGTATCCTTGTATTGGCTTCTCCCTTCCTGTTTCACTCTCCCTGGCCCCTCACTTCTTCTCTCCAAGTTTACTTCCCAACTAAACCATCTGCATGCAAGCCTTAACCTCAGGCTCAGTTTTAGGGGAAACTCAGGCTAAGATGACCACTGCACACCAATTGCCTCGCACAGTACCTGGCATACAGTAGTGACTCAATAACATTTTTAAGTCAATGAGTCAGTCAAGTATAAATGAATGAAAATTACTGCAAAGTCAAGGGATAAGAACAGAAGTAGGATATTTAAAAAGCATTTCCCCATTTGGTACAATAAAATTCATCATTGCTTAAACTTACCGACTCAGCAAGGGCCCTCAGCATGCCATGTCAGAGAACTCAGAAATGTGCTTTATTTTTAGGCAGATGACTTTTTGCCAAGACCTGTCCACTTAACCCTCCGCCCATCAGCTTTAGATAGCTTGGGATAGTGAAACAAGAATGAGGTTTAGAATTAGGCCTAAATGGAGCTAAATACCCACATTGCCACCACTTTTGACCTGTATGACCTTAACAAGTTCTTCAAGTTCTAGTTCATCTGTCTGTCAAATGGGAACATAAACATTTGTTTTACAGAGTTGCTATAAATATTTAGCATTAGGTCCTTAAAAATATTGGTTTTCTTTTCCCAAAATATCTACCTTCCTTTCCTCCCCTCTTCAGTGAAACACACACATTGCATTCAAGAATTTGTTTCTACAGTGAGACCACATGGGCATAGGGAGGGGAACAACACACAGAGGCCTGTAAATGGGGAGTGGTTGTGGGGAGAGAGCATCAGGAAAAATAACTAATTCATGCCTGGCTTAATACCTAGGTGATGGGTTGATAGGTGCAGGAAACCACTATGGCACACATTTACCTATGTAACAAGGTTGTACATCCTGCACATGTGCCCCGGAACTTAAAATAAAAAAAATAAAGAACTTGTGTCTAAATGTGTGGCCCATGACTCTGAGCTGAACACTTGGTGTAGGAATCATCTAATTTTTTTTTTTTTTTTTTTTTTTGTAGTCTCTGCACCTACGATACACCAACTGGCAGTTCCATCATTTGAAAGAAAATCTTCAAGGTAAAGATGTTTACAATGACACAAAAACCTTTCAAAGGTATCATGGTCCTAAAGGGCTTTCTCCAAGGGAAGCACGGTGCGTTCCAGGCCCTGATGAGAGGTGAATGTGTGGGCATGGGTGTCTCGTGAGCCTGACACTCTTCATCCCTCTCTGACCATTTACGCCTTTTGTCTGTCTGTGCTTTCAAAGGTCAAACCCTTGTGAGAAATACTTGCTCTATTAATCATCTTGGAAGACTGCTCCAGACACATTTTCAGAAGGGATGCAGTAAGTTTTGTCTGCACAGTGCACCCTGGGAAAAGAGTTTCCCTTCTGAAAAGCAATCTTGCTTTCAGCCAAGTCTTTTCTTTTCCTTTTTTTTTGTAAAGTAATGAAGTTATTGCATGCCGAAGGCATCGTGAGGTAGGTACAGCCACCCCTTTGACATGGCATGTCTGTATGCCCAGGATGCATATACCTAATTAGTGAGTTCCACATGACTGCTGGTGTTGGCAATCATCTGTATCCAGCTGGTGCTCAGACTTTTGGGGATCAGTGGAAATTTTAACCATTATTTGACACAGACTTATTTGGTCAGAGAGAGACAGTCATATCACAGAGAGCTAAACGTCCAGAGCTAATGAAAGATGATCCAGCAATTAGACTGACTCACAACATGGGTAATAATTTTTATACTTACATTTTGACCACATAAATAAAAGAGTGGGACTGATTTTCCCACTGCATTGCATATGAGGGAAGGAGAATGTTATTCTGTCTTCTCTCTTCATCTGAACATTAGAACTTTTTAAACCTTCAGACACGGCAGCGGCACTTCCACCCATCGTTTGAATGAAAGCCAGTCCCACCTGTCTGTCTTTCCATTCAGCAGGGAGTCATTTCATGTGTGAAGCAAGCAAAAAAGATAGATGTGTCAGGGCTTTCTCTGTCTCCTGTAGAATTTTTATCTTTTGGCCTTTTCCACTTCCTAGTCTGCATATGACCTAATATCCTATTCCTCATGGCCAACTCTTGATAACAATGAGAAAACAAGTCCTGAAAAATGTGTTATTTATTCATTAAGCATTTCTATCTTGTAACACTTTTTTTGTTTTTGTTTTGTTTTGGCAAAATCATGACAATATCTGCTATATTTCAGATAATTATTTTAACAAATCTGTAACCTGAATGAAAGCAGGATTCATTCTATAATTCTCAGTACACTTGAGAAATAAATGATAAACAATGTCCCACTGGAAGAGACCCCTCCAAAACCTCATGCCAAAGGAGGTAGACCACCATATTCAGTGAAAATATTTAACATCTTGGACTGTTTCCCAGTGGGATGCAGACCAGACAAGAAGAACAATTCAGGCTGCTTAGGAGACTGTCTGGGGATCTCTGTGAATGGCATCTGCACTGGATAGATATTTCTTCCCCTCAGATTCCTGCTCCTGTGTATGTGTACTACTTACGGCTGAGTCATACTTTTCAAGAATGAATGTGGGTGTCACAATCAGTGATCTGTGATCTATTCCTGCTCCTGTGTATGTGCACGACATACAACTGAGTCATATTTTTCAAGAATGAATGTGGGTGTCATCGTCATTGATCTGTGGTCTATCATTTCATAAATAGATTGTTCCAAAAGTACTCTAGGCACAGCTGAGCACAGATAGTCTTTTGGACGGCTTTAATCTAAGCCCATTTCAATATGCTTCTTTTTATTGTCCACACTTCTTTCTACTACCACTAACTTAAATAATTCCTATAATCAGCTAGAAGAGGTTTCAATGAAAAATCGTCTTTGAACACAAGAAATAAGGACTGGGAAGTGGTAAACAACTTGCAACGGAGGTATTCTGAAGATAGTCCTAGCATAATGTCCCCCAGGCGCAGCCATATATAGTAATTTGGTAAATCAACAATGAAGTCTCATGCAGCAGTGAGAATCTTAAGTATCAAGCACTAACTGAGGTTCTGGGCAAGAGAAACACAAAAGAGAATACTACTTTACCCCAACCCCAAGGAGATCTCAGGGACACAAATGTCAGCATCTACCTCAATACAATGACATCTGAGTGACTATCTCAAGTGAGAACTGAAGAAGATATCACAGGAAAGCTGATCTTGAAGAAAGGAGAGGAGTTGGCCTATTAGAAAAGAGAAACTGGTCATGGGTGCCTGTAATCCCAGCTACTCGGGAGGCTGAGGCAGGAGAAGAGATTGAACCCAGGAGGCTGAGGTTGCAGTGAGCCAAGATCGCACCATTGCTCTCCAACCTGGGTGACGAGAGCAAAACTCCATCATGAAGGAGAAGAAGAGAGAGGGAAGGAGGGAGGGAGAGAGGGAGGGAGGGAGGAAGGAAGGAAGGAAGGAAGGAAGGAAGGAAGGAAGGAAGGAAGGAAAGAAAGGAGGGAGGAGAAGAAAGAAAAGAGAAGAAAAGAAAAGAAGGGGGCATACTCATTGAGAGAACAATGGCTCTGTTGGTCAAAGGCATGCCAGTGTGAAAATCATGACACGTTCAGAAGATCATATAGCTGGGTATGTCTGGAGAGGGTCATGGATGGGCCATGGCACAAAATGAATTTCTTTGTCAAGATACTATAAAAACCTACACAGACAAATCAGGGGAGATATGTTGTAGGGAATAATAATATTTCATCGAACTCAAGGCTAGGAGATACAGGTAGGCTGAGGAACAGGAACAGTATTGGAAACTGAAGCTGGAGTCACCCTCTCTACCTTTGTCTTTGTCTTCCTCTTTCTGGGCCATGAGGTCACTTATGGCCGCAGTTCAGTTCATTGGTCAACAGTTCTGAATTGTTCAGTCATTCATCATTCAGCAAGAATGCACGTGCACATCCTCTGTGCTCGGTGTGCTCTTTATTAACTACATTGTGGTGGAAAATGGATCAAGGCTGGCTTCATGGGCACAGACTTGCACAGTCAAATGGTCCCACATTTGGTTTAATGCACCGCTACCACTATCTTGCAATTCTGAATAATTCTGAATAATTTCATGGAACTCGTGTTTTGTAAGAAAGTCTAATGGGATGAGGGAGCATGCACATGAGCAGAGGAAATGTCCACAGTGCCTTCCCATTCACATATAGCATTTGTGATGACACCCCATGAGCACAGAATTTGGTGGCCCACAATATTCAAGCATTCAGTGAGACTAAAAGCAAGTATAAGGCAATTGTATTAGGGCTACCACTGAGAAAGGTGGGGAGGAGGCAGGTGCTGACATCCTAGAGGCCATGCTTTTTGTTTGAAAGAGAACAAGAATCAAGGAACCCTATTGCATTCTTTCTTATTCATGTTGTTTCCCTGTATCAGCCAACTACTTTAATGCTGAAATGCTAGAAAGAGAGGAAATGTTAAGACAACAGTTTCTTTTCCTTTCAAGTTTTCCTTACCCATCACTAAGCTGAAGGTAAAGAGTGTTGGTAGAATGTATCAAGCTGTGAATTAAAAACTGTTGAGTTTCATGTAGCATTTCCACTGTTCCAGTAAGAGTGAAATATTTATGCATTTTTGAGCTACAAATATTAATTGTGTAATTTTGGTAATTGTTTTGTTTTATTTTGTTTTTTCTCTCAACTTTTTTGAGATTCAGGGAGTGCATGTGCAGGTTTGTTACATGGATAAATTGAATGTCACTGAGGCTTGGTGTACGAATGATCCCATCACCCAGGCAGACAGCATAGTACCTGATAGATATGTTTAGCTCCCACTTAAAAGAGAGAACATGCAGTATTGGTTTTCTGTTTCTGCAGTAGTTCACTTAGGATAATGGCCTCCAGATGCATCCATGTTGCTGTAAAGGACATAATTTCATGCCTTTCTTATGGCTGCGTAGCATTCCATGGTGTACATGAACCACATTTTCTTTATCCAGTCCACCACTGATGGGCATCTAGGTTGATTTCATGTCTTTGCTATTGTGAATATTGTTGCAATGAACATATGAGTGCATGTGTCATTTTGGTAGAACAATCTATTTTCCTTTGGGTATATACCCAGTAGTTGGATTGCTGGGTTAAATGTTAGTTTTTAAATGATTTGAGGAATCTCCACACTGCTTTCCACAGTGGCTGAAGTAATTTAGATTCCCACCAGCAGTGTGTAAGTGTTCCCTCTTCTCCAGGACCCAATTTTAAAAATGGGCAAAGGGCATAAACAGAAACTTCGCAAAAGAAGAAATACATGTGGCCAACAAATATATGAAAAAAATGCTCATCATCACTAATCATTAGAGAAATACAAATCAAAACCACAGTGAGATACCATCTCACACCAGTCAGAATGGCCATTATTAAAAAGTCAAAAAGCAACAGAGGTTGCAGAGAAATTTTAAGGATTTTTGTGTAAGAGTTAAATGCTGTTATATTTGCATTTAAAACTGACATTACACACTGTAAAGATAAACAGTAAACCATGCTAATAATTTTATATTTCCATTTTTTAACTTAGAATGTCATTAAATGGCAAATAAAGAAACACAATGGCAAGTTGAGAGAGAGACCATTCAAGAAAGGAAAATATCACACTTTAGTGCCTTTAGCAGCACTTTTTCTCCTTCTTTTTTTGAACAAGGCACCCTATATTTTTGTTTTGTACTGGGTCCCACAAATTGTTTAGCCAGCCCTGACCTGGAGATGAGTGGGTGAACAAAGCAGACAGAGTCCCTGTCACCATGGAGCTTACTTTCCATTGGGGAGAACAATAAAAATAAATAAACAAGAAATCTCATTGTCTCAGAATTGTTTTGAGGAAATAACAGAGTAACATGATTAAGCAAATCAAGGGAGGGAGAGCTACTTGAGTTTGGGTGGCAGAGAAAGTCGCTCCAAGGAAGTGATCTTTGAGCTGAGACCTGAAGTAGGGACTGTCCATCAACTTTGCTGAAGCGAATTCTCCCCCTCCATTCTGATACCCTCTATTCCACACTCCGCAGCCAGTCCGACTGAGCCTGTTTCCCTTGAACAGTTTTAAAGATGGCAACCAGGTCTTCCCCAGGCTTCCACATTTCTATCCACTCCAACGGCCCCTGGGTGACCATCCTCTGGGCTCCCTTGTCAAAAGAAGTTCCAGAGACTTTTCTTGTCAAAGCTATCAGTAGCCCAGAACAGGTTGAAGAGAATAACATGAAGTGCCCCTGTTTCTTCCTGAAAGCTTTGAAGAGCCCAGAAACATAGTCTCTGGAGGAAGAATTCCCTTTTTTCCCAGTAACTCCTGGGAAAAGCCACCTGACAAAACCTCCTGCCTTTGTGAGTCATGGCAAAGAAAGTCACATCAAAAGGAAGGGTGATTTGAATGAGCCCAGATGTTTCACTTAAAACCACAACCAGGCATAGCATTTGAGCAATTTTTATTTGCAGTCATTTCTTTTCACGTCATGCAAATGATCAAAAGTGGTCTAGGGAGACCACATGTCTTAAAAGATGACAATTGCAAATGGCAGCAAATAGCAAATGCAATAATAACTTGTCATGTTTAACACAAAGTTACAGCAAAGGCAAGCTGTTTAGCAGTAAGCAGATGTGGACTAAGTAAAAGATAGTTTGCAGATAGCTAAATGCAGGCAGGTCACAAAGCATTTTGATAAAGGATTATAAAAATATTACCCATGGTAGAACATATATAGTAAATATAATATTTCAAGAAGGATTTCGAAATGTACAAGATTTACTACTGGAGAGTTGAAAAACGCACAGTTGATGTCTCAATCATAGGAGTTAAGAGTTTGCCAAGTGAAGCAGAATATGATTATGTAGAGGATTTTAAACTAGGATTTACTATTTTTTTTTTCCAAAAAGAATGCTGCACTTGGCAGCTCTCTCAATTCCAGTGCACAGAAGTTAGTAAACTGATGAAATAGCAGGGGATTCTTCTAGAGAGGCTAATTGCTACATCGATTTCTGCCAACACCATTTGAAAATAAACCCCTCTGTCCTTTTTGTACTGTTTCTAGAAAAAAGACTGGAGTTGACAATTAAAAGCTCAGCAAGTAAGATGTAAATTTAGGCATTTGGGCATAGTATGTTTTCACCAAATATTTGTTGAATTAATGAAAAGATAGAGACAACCTAGAAGTTTAGGTTGTAGGACAGTCTTCTGGACTGTACTGTATATAGGGAGCTGTAGATGCTTTTCAAGAGCATAAGCATCGATTCTTACACAATCCTGCACATTTACATGTGAAATTACCTAGCATACCTGAGCTGGGAAGTCCTAACTCATGCCAATGAGGAATTTGAGAAGTTTGGTCAAAACATGGAGAAGATGAGTTCACTTGCCAATGGGACACCTTTGGTATGAAAGAGGACAAGGTGGTTTTGACAGGTGACTGCAGTCAGCAGCACAGGTTGCATGGAGGCTCTCATTGCCTCTTCCTGCAAAAGTTGGGACTGTGACCTCTCTGGGGAGGTCCACGTATGATACAATGCAGAAAATGATTCCAACGAAGTGACTGTTCTTCAAGCCAGCCCCCACAGCCATGATCAGTTTATTAGATATTTTGAAGCACTTAAATCAGTGTAGGCAGATGCTGTTTATTTTTAAGCCCTCAGATGGGGAAACTTCATGAGATTCACTGAGCTGCCTCCTCAGATCAAGAACTTTGGGGATGAAGGATTGAGAAACCCACATTGTTGGAGTGCTTTTTGTTCACATGACGATGCTTTCTTATGGTTGTGACACTGAATTCAAAATTTCAAGAGAAAAGCAAAGTGCAGAACATCACCGATAATTTCAGAAGTGCAGCTGTCTGTGTTCAAACTGGATAGATACCTTTTGAAGAAGGCAACCATCATGTAATAAAAATTTTCAAGGATTATAGAAGTATTGATGAAAACAGAATTTTCATCAATTCCAGAAGCAAATTATAGTCTCTGTTGGATTGGAATCACAAGTTCAAAGAATGAACAAGGATTTACTTTGAAAAAGTAACACTATTTAAGAGCCTCCTGTAGACCTAAAAGCAATGCAACTTCCACCAACAGCTTTGTTGATAAGTCCATGAATCCGGTAACTGATATTCCTACTATGTGTCAAATTCTGGAAAATGTTTAGATTCCCCTGGGTCTGTTAAAATGGATTGTGATTTTTATGCTTCTGAAAATCCAAGCAGTGAGTCACCATTGATGCTACAAACCTGGAGTCTGAATCAGGATGTGGGTCCTAATTAAATATTAGAAATTATTCATTACTTTAAACATCAACATTCTCATCAACATGCTCAAAAGGAATCAAATATATAATTTGGCACATATGCTATATGCATGCAATAATAAAATTGTTTATAATAGTTATTTGAGGGCTGGGCACAGTTGCTCACTCCTGTAATCCCAGCACTTTGGGAGGCCGAGGAGGGCATATTGCTTGAGCTCAGGAGTTCAGGACCAGCCTGGGTAACATTGTGAAACTCGTGGCTACTTGGAAGGCTGAGGTGGGAGGATTCCTTGAGCCCAGGAGGTCAAGGCTGCAGTGAGCCATGATGGTGCCACTGCACTCCAGCCTGGGACACAGAACAAGACCCTATCTCAAAAACAAAACAAAACAAGTTTGTTATTGGGAGGGATTTTTAAAAATTATTATTGTTGTTACTGTTTTAAGTCTTTCATAATTTTGAATCATTAGTGAGTTTTTCCATTATTCTTACCTTTACCTCTTAGGATTTCTAATTATGTGGCTTACTACCAAAAATAAGTAAAGAAACAAATAATGCATCTGGGTTTTCCAGCTGTAGGGCCTAATATTTGCTGAAAGTGAACTCTGCCTTGGAATTTAGTCCTCACTCCCTGAAGTCACTTTGTACTCCCTCTGGGCAGGCAGTAAGATCCATCTGTTTGTCTTCAGCCTTGTCCTCACTGGCAGACCCACTCACACACTGGTAAAGAGATGCCTGTCACCTTTTATTTCATGGAGTCCCATGGGCTTTCTGACTCAGACATTTATGGTCTCTTCCACGCTCTCTGGGTCCAGGATACTGGGGAATGACATAAATGGTTAGTCATCAGCTGTTCTGAGAGGACTTCCAAGAATAACTGCTACAAAACTTTTAGCAAAACTGAGTTTTAAAGATCTAGAGTGTTGTCCATCAACTGGTCTAGAATGGAGACCATAAACTGATGGCCAAATCATCCCACAGGCATGTTGTGTTTGGCCACACTAAGGTTGGCTTGCAGAGTGTTTAAAACATACTTAATTAGTTCCCAACGTTGAAAAATCGGGATATTTCATGTAAAAAATCCAGATTTCTGGCATTGGTCACATGGAGTCTGCATTCCCACCTGGCAATCATCTACTTGCAGCTAGAGAGCAGTTGCCCCATCTAGATGGGGCAAGCCAACTCTAGTTCTTATCCCTAGCATTCTCCACCAGGCCTGCTTCACTTGTCTCCATAAAATGCCTGGCTTTGGTAGACCTTTGAAGTTGGGATCTTTACTTTAGAACTACACTGTGCTAAGAAGTGTAGGGAAAAACAGGAAAAGGATAAAGCATTTGTAAGTCTTCCTGGGTTATCCTCTGGTTAGAGAAAACAATGATATAATAATAAACAATAATAGTAATAAAGCTAATTTATGGGTCAATTAAGGTCTTCATTGTGAGGTATCAAGCACAGAAGTGGTCCTGACCTACTGTGTTAGTCTGTTTGTGTGGCTATAAAGGAATACCTGAAACTGAGTAATTTAAAAACAAAAGAGGTTTAATTGGCTCATGGTTCTTCAGACTGTACCGGAAGCATAGTGCCAGCATCTGCTTCTGGTGAGGGCCTCAGGAAACTTACAATCACAGTGGAAAGTGAAGGGGTAGCCAACGCATCACATGGCAAGAGCAGGAGCAAGAGAGAGTGGGGGAGGTGCCACATACTTTTAAACAAACACATCTTGCATGACCTCAGAACAAGAACTCACTCATCACCAAGGGCATAGCATTAAGACATGCATGATTGATCTGCCCCCATGATCAAAATACCTACCAAATCTCACCTTCAACACTGGGGATTATGTTTCAACATGAGATTCAGAGAGAACAAATATCCAAATGATATCACTTACAATACCACCAGTACCTGGCTCCTCCATAGAAGTGACGGCCAGGAACAGCCAGCTTGCAGGTCCATTCATGAGACCAGTTGAAGAGTTCAATAAAGAATTTGTCTAGTTAGGCCATGTGGGTTCCTCTACCATGGAGTTCAGAGATTTATCATGGATTTATCCACTAATTTTTTCTTTTAACAAATGTCGAGGAACTGCTGTGGAGGCCTTGGGTTCACCATTCAGGTACCTCTTCAAGTTAATCTACATGGGGAGCCTTGTGACTTCAGCCCCAGAAGCTGCCCCTTTGGATCCACTATGCACCCAGCTTTCTCAGGCTAACTCTCAGCTACTATCTGAGCATGGTAGGGGGCCTGGAACCAGGCCATTCCTGTCCAACATGAAGCTTTTCTAATGCGCAACCTTTGAGTGGGCTGTCCTTTTCAGCCTGACCAAGATTTTCTTAGAACTATACTGTGGTCTGAGGTTCTTCTTAATTAAACCTCCTTCCTTTTCTGTCTTCTTTCACAGATTTAAGACCTGTGACACAGTCTGAAGCTCTCCTGGCATACTCTGAAGCTCTCCTGGCACCATCCCCTTTATCCTTCACAGGTGTTTCTCCTAGTAAGTTTCTTGTATGTCTCATCCCATCTGGGCATCTGCTTCTCAGAAGACTCAAACTGACACATCTGCCCACTATGTGTCAAAGCACTGTGCTAGGTGCTGGAGACCTAAAAATGAATAAAACAGACAAGAGCCCTCCATTCATGGTGTTTGCATTATAGTGGTGGTAAATATTCCATAAACAAGAGAATAAATAGATAAGATAAATTTTAAAACTAGAGAATGACTTGTTATAAATGATTGGTAATCAGGGAAGGTCCTCTGAGGGGATGACACTTAAGCTGACACCGAATGAGAAGAAGGAACTGGTCAACTGAAGACCTAGATGAGAGTATTGTAGGCAGAGGGAAGAGCAAGGACCAAGGGTTGAGAAAGAAACTAGTTTGACATATTTGAGGCGGGAAAGCCAATTTGACTGAAGAATAATAAAAAAGGGAATGAATGGAATAAGCAAGGACATTAAACAACTAGAGAGGAGGCTGATCATCACAGTAAGTCATTTAGAGTAGGTTAGGGAGAAGATCATTCTCTATCAGGGCAGAACTGAAAAGGCTATGTCTGCTGCTAAATGCTGCTGTGAAAAGACAAGGGCTTTCATCACACTACAGATGCAATCTTTTGGATCCGCTTATATTGAACAGACTTTGTGGACCCTCTTAAGAAAGTAGGCACCACAAAAATATTACATCTATACAAAATGCAGGGCTCCAAGCCATAGATGTATATATCACATTGTGTGCGTGTGTGTGTGTGTGTGTGTGTGTGTGTGTGTAAAGCCAGCCCCAGTTTGTGAGCTGAACATGACTCCTACATGCTTTCAGAGAGAAGAGAGAAGAGAGAGGACCATGTACTGGAATAAGCCCTAGAGAACTTCTTGGAAGAATGGGAAGTTAGCTGATCAAAATTATGTTGCTTTCTAGAAAAGAAGTAAAAAGCCAGACAGTTTCTTTTGCTAAAACGGTCTGGGTAGATTTCCATTCTAAGAAAATTACAAGAATGTATAGTTTTAAATAGCTAGAAGGAGAATACTGAATGTTCCCAACACAAAGAAGTGATAAATGTTTGAAATGATGGATATGTTCACTGTCCTTATCTGATCGCTATGCATAATATGCATTGAAACATCATTATGTACCCCATGAATATGTGCAATTATTATAATTCAATTTAAAAAATAAAATTAAAGAAACAAGGGTGCAACAGCGTCCATTGTAAATGTGCTACTTCTCCACCTGACTCATTTATGAAGGTGGGGAAGCTCCTGAACAGATAGTGAAGTGCAATGAAATTTGGAGAAGAACTCTGGTACCTAGGTCTAGAGAGCAGATGTGCAACTTCTTTGGAGAATGTGTTTCATATAAAGCTTCAAGAGCTGTTCCTGGTAGCATTTGGCTGTTGCCCTTGGTGTGGAGGTTCATGGAGTAATGTTTATTGATCAGAGAACCTTGCAGGTTATTGTTCACTTCTACTCCTGCCTCTACCCAATGTATAATTTGAGACCTAAGAGGCTTGGCCTTTTTACCTTGCCTTCCACCCCAACAGGGACAGCAGAGTGAGAAACAGATCTATAATGGTTCCACAGATCTTTCCTTTGGAGAGTTGCTGGGAAGCTGCACATACTAGGAAAGTTTCCTGAAATAGAATTGCATTATCTGAGGCCTGGAAAATGTGTTGGAAAAGCTCACTTAGCTATGGGGAACCCGATGAAAGACCTGTCTGGTTTCTGAGCATTGTCTGGGGAGCTCAAATTCTCTAAATGGGCCCCCAAGGTGTCCATCATTTAGCCCTTGCCAAGGCTGGGTCAACATGCTGGCAAAGAACTGTCTGAACATTGAAAAATCCTCCAACCTATTATCTCATGAGAGAAAGCTAGTTATTGGAAATAGAAGTTGGATTTTAAAATTTGTATCAGCATGTTTTTAAATTAATGTTTTGTTAATATAAACATACAGAAAATTACATGCATTATAAGTGAACAGATCAATGAATTTTCAAAAAGTGAATATAACCTTATAGCCACATCAGATCAAGAACTAGACATTACCAACACCCTAGGAGTCTTTCTAGTATTTCCTTCCTGCAGAGGGTAACTACTATTCTAGATTGTAATTCAGATAAGTTAACTTTGCCTGTTTTATATTTTATGCAAATAAAGTCATACCGTATGCAGTACTGATCTCAAGGAAGAAGTTTTTAGCATTTTAATATTAAATACAATAACATGTAGTTTTTTGGTGGATTTTTTAAGTCAAATTTAGAAAGTTCCCTTCTATTTCTAGTTTGTTATAGGTTTTCATCATGAATATATGTTGAATTTTGTCAGATGCTTTATTTTATTGAGATAATCTGCTGTTTTTTTTCTGTTAATATAGTGAATCACATTGATCCATTTTTCTAATGTTGAATCAACCTTTCATACCTGGAATAAAATATATTGGTCATAGTGTATTTTCCTTTTTATATAACACTTGTTTCTGCTTTCCAAAATTTTGTTAAAAAATATGCATTTATGTTTATAGGAGAGTTGATCTGTCATTTTAATAGTAAATTTTATTATTTAAATAGATCTCGTACCAATCAAAGTTTCTTTTGTCAGTTGGGATAAGTAATACTTTTATCTAAATTACCAAGTATGTCCATGTGAAGTTTTTAGTAACACTTTCGTATTTTAATTTGATCTATAGGATCTGTAGTAATGTTCCCTTTTTAAATCCTGATATTGATAATTTACTTTTAGTTCCCAATCAATTTTGTTAGGGATTTATCAATTTTATAAATTTTCTCAAGGACCTAACTTTTTGGCTTTCATGATTTTTTCTATTGTATGTTTGTTAGTTTTTTAAATCTTATTGACATGTGCTCTTACCTTTATTATTTATTTCACTTAATATCCTTAAGTTTGATTTAATGGGCTTTTTACTCATTTCTTGAGATGGAAGTTTAAATCACTGATTTCCTGAATTTGCTAATTTATCTTCATTTAGAGTTATAAATTACACATTAAGTAGCATATTAGCTGCATGCTACAAGGTTTAATATGTCATATCTTTCATAATGTAGTTCAAAATATTTAATTTCAATTTGATTTATTCTACAATACCTGAATTATTTATAAATCTATAATTTCCAGGTAGTTAACATTTTTCTAATCATCTTTTTATTTGATTTTATGTTTGTTATTTCCATAGGTTTTTGGGGAGCAGGTGGTGTTTGATTACATTAGTAGGTTCTTTAGAGATGATTTGTGAGATTTTGGCACACCCATCACCGGAGCTGTATACACTGTGCCCAATTTGTAGTCTTTTGTCCCTCACTCCTGTCCACCCTTTCCTCCAAGTCCCCAAAGTTCACTGTATCATTCTTATACCTTTGCATCATCATAGCTTAGCTTTCAATTATGAATAAGAATATATGATGTTTGGTTTTCCATTCCTGAGTTACTTCACTTAGAATAATGAACTCCAATTCCACCCAGGTTGCTACAAATGCCATTCTTTCATTCCTTTTTATGGCTGAATAGTATTCCATGGTATATATACATAACCCACAATTTCTTTATCCACTCATTGATTGATAGGCATTTGGGCTGGTTCCGTATTTTTGCAGTTGTGATTGTGCTGCTATAAATATACATGTGCAAGTATATTTTTCATATAATGACTTCTTTTCCTCTGGGTAGATAACCAGTGGTGAGATTGCTGGATCAAATAGTTAAAGAACTATTTTTAGTTCTTTAAGGAATCTCCACACTGATTTCCATAGTGTTTGTACTAGTCTACGTTCCCACCAGCAGTGTAATGCTCACCACATCCCTGCCAACATCTACTATTTTTTTATTTTTTGATTATGGCCACCATTCTTGCAGGAGTAAGGTGGTATGGCATTGTGGTTTTGATTTGCATTTCCCTGATAATTAGTGATGTTGAGCATTTTTTTATATGTTTATTGGCCATTTGTATATCTCCTTTTGAGAATTGTCTCTTAATGTCCTTAGCCCATTTTTTTGGTGGGATTCTTTGTTTTTTTTCTTGCTAATTTGTTTGAGTTCCCTGTAGATTCTGGATATTAGTCCTTGGTCAGATGTATAGATTGTGAAGATTTTCTCTCACTCTGTGAGTTGTCTGTTTGCTTTGCTGATTGTTTCTTTTGCTGTGCAGAAACTTTTTAGTTTAATTAAGTCCCACCTAGTTATTATTGTTTTTGTTGCATTTGGTTTTGGGTTCTCAGTCATGAAGTCTTTGCCTAAACCAATGTCTAGAGGGTTTTTCCAATGTTATCTTCTAGAATTTTTATGGTTTTCGGTCTTAGATTGTCTATTTGTGTTCTTTCAGACTTTGGGATGTAGGCATTTAACATTATGAACTTTGCTTTTAGCACTGTCTTTGCGGTATCCCAGAGGTTTTGATATGTTGTGTCACTATTATCATGCAGTTCAAAGAATTTTTTAATTTCCATCTTGATTTTGTTGTTGACCCAATGATCATTCAGGAGCAGATTATTTAATGTCCATGTATTTGCATGGTTTTGAAGGTTATTTTTGGAGTTGATTTCCAATTTTATTCCACTGTGGTCACAGAGAGTACTTGATATAATTTCAATTTTCTTAAATTTATTGAGACTTGTTTTGTGGCCTATCATATGGGTGGATCTTGCAGAATGTTACCCGTACTGATGAAGAGAATGTATATTCTGCATTTGTTGGGTGGAATGTTCTGTAAATACCTGTTAAGTCTATTTGCTGTAGGGTATAGTTTAAATCCATTGTTTCTTTACTGACTTTCTGTCTTGATGACCTGTCTAGTGTCATCAGTGGAGTACTTGAATCCCCTACTATTATTGTGTTGCTGTCTATCTTATTTCTTAGGTCTAGTAGGAATTGTTTTATAAATTTGGGAGCTCCAGTGTTAGGTGCACGTATACTTACGATTGTGATACTTTCCTGTTGGACAAGGCCTTTTATCATTATGTAGTGTCCCTCTTTATCTTTTTTAACTGCCGTTGCTTTAAAGTTTTTTGGTCTAAGAATAGCTAC